ATTATAAAAAGAAAGAAATTTAAGATTCAAATGTAACCTCACGAAAAAAAAATATTTGAAGGAAAAAGAAAAAGATGTCAATGAAGGGATATAATGGAAAAAATATTTGAAGGAAAAAGAAAAAGATGTCAATGAAGGGATATAATGGAAAAAGAAAGATGAACAATGGACGAAAAAGAAAAATCAAAGAATGAAAATAAACAAAGAATATAATGATACGAATTTAGCTAAGAAGTAAGACTATTAATTAGTAATGTTAGAATTCACAAAATATAATAAAAAATATTAAAGAAAAACTGATATAAAAGAGAAATAAAGAAGAAACTAAAGAAAATCAAGATAGGAAATTAATTAAAAAGATACAGAAATAATCAATAATTTTAGAATTTAGGAAAAAATATTTTTAAAGTGACAGGAGTGACAAAAGAAATTGGGAAATTGATAATAAAGAAAGCGAATTAACGAGTAAGGTTAGAATTACTAATAATCAGAAATGGTAGAAGAGAAGAAAGAAAGAAAGAAAGAAAGAAAGAAAGAAAGAAAGAAAGAAAGAACGAAAGAAAGAAAGAAAGAACGAAAGAAAATGGAGATAGGAATTTAAGTAGAAAGAAACAGAATTAACGATTAAAGTTAATATTTACAAAATATAGTAAAAATAAAATATGGTAGGAAAGAAAGAAAGAAAGAAAGAAAGAAGGAAACGAAGAAGGAAATAAATAAATAAAGGAGAAACGAAAGGAAAAAAATGAAAACGGGAAATTAGTAATAAAGTGAATTAACGAGTAAGGTTAGAAATACTAAAAATTAAAAAAATGGTAGAAGAGAAGAAAGAAAGAAAGAAAGAAAGAAAGCAAGAAAGAAAATGAAGATAGGAAATTAAGTAGAAAGAGAATATGAAGTAAAGTTAGAATTTAAAAATATAGTAAAAATCAAAAAATGCTAGGGCAAAAAGAAAGAAAAAAGAAAGAAATGACGAATGAAATTAATTAGTAAAAAAAGAATTAACAAGTTGAATTTACAAAAATATTAAAGAGAAAAAATTGTAGAAATAAAGAAAAAAACAATGAAAGAAGAAAGAAAGTGAAGATAGGAAATTAAGTATTAATAATAAAATAAACGAATAATATTAAACTTTAAAGCATTACTAAAAATAGGAAGATATTAGAGAAGAGTTAGAATGAAAGAAAGAAAGAATGAAAAAATAATTGAAAGACTTCCTGAAGAATGGAAAAGAACAATGAAAAGAACAAACAGAAGTAAACAAAAAGAAAATAAAGAAAACAGAAGTCGAAGTCAAAGAAAGTAAAGTCGACATATTTATGCTCGTTAACGTGGTCTTGAGGAAACTGGGTTCTAAATATTCAAGAGTAGATGGTTCCACGTCAATAATTAGCAAAACAAATTAATTCAATGACTAAGGAATTGTTAAATGTCTTGAAACCTTTGATGGCAGGATTAAGTTTAGTTGCTTTGATCTCGGATCACACCGATTTGCTCTCTCAGAAGAACGAAACTAGTTTCACCGTGACCAATCATGGCTTTATTATGCAAATACATTACTTGTTCGAGGATGACTTAAACCGAGAATAGGCCGTCCTTCTGATTTCGGTCAGTAAGCAACTCAAATTTATTTGGCGCCAAGTTCACGAGTCACACATTGATAAAGTTGGTTACTTGCTTCCATACGATAGACTAATGAATGTTTAGCTGTGATAAATACCCTGTTTAATGTTAAGTGGTCGACTTAAATCTTGGGTATTTTACAGATTACAACACAAATTCTCTTTCCTTCTTTTCTCTTCTCTCTCTGTGTTACATCAAACTGAAGATCAAGCGTTTATTTGAATGTGGACAAGCGAAGTATATGGCTACAAATAAATGTTGTGCCATATCTCATTAAAGCATGTTTCATATTTTTCTTCTCTGAGCAGCATACTTTCACAAATTGGGCGATCATGCTCTCCACAGCTTCCTCTCTGTTGTAGCACTTCGTAATGTTAGATAGGTTACTTACTACTTCAACTTTTCACTTTATGTGCTTTTTATCTACATTCTCCTTAAACCTTCCTCGTTGTTCATATGTTCCATTCATGATATTCTCATCATCCTGCTTTAGATCTACATCTCTGTTGCCTCATGTTTACTTTATAAGGAAAGTGTGCAGTATTCAAGTCTCCTCTATGAGGAAATTTTCCAACATTCACTGTCATATAGAAGGACGTATATGATTAAGTCCTGGATATTTTATAACTTTCCCACATAAAGCTATCCAGGCAGTTCAAATAGTTCTTGGTGTTTAACTTATGAAATGATTTGCATAATCTATAAACATAGATATGCGTCCTTCTGTAGTATTTATATATCTCTGTCTGTCTGTCAGTCTCTCTGTCTCTGTCTCTGTCTCTGTCTCTGTCTCTCTCTTTCTCTCTCTCTCTCTTTTTCTCTCTCTCTCTCTCTCTTCTCTCTCTCTCTCTCTCTCTCTCTCTCTCTCTCTCTCTGATATGAGCATAAATGTAGCATTCAAACATTATTGTCAATGAGAGTGCTTTGTATTCAGGGTTTCATACTAAATTTCTTATTTCTTTGAATAGAGAGGGCTTCCGTTACCAATAATATTGATTTACAATTCTTTCTCGTAAGATCTTCTGTTATTTTAGTCTTATATTTAAGAACAAACGTGATGGAAACATAAACAAAAAAATATAAAAAAAACATAAATGTAATCGACGAGATTATATACCCAAAACACATGCTAATAAAATTGTTTTAAATTTAAATTTAACTGCATCTCTATATCGTTTGCGCGCATGCGTAGAAGCATCAATGTAAGCAAACTTTGTACGATGAAGTCCTAAAGGACTAAACGTATCACACGAAAACTTTTTTTTAAAATCCTTACTCCTCTTAAAATAAAACTTAAGAAAAACTGAATAAGCATTTCTATGATATACTCTTTGATAACTCGAATTTAAATTTCGTACTTGGTTGGCAGCTAGGTTTCATGATTAATGTAACCTTAAGTTCCATACTAATAATCTCTTCTCTCAAGCTACTCGCCTGTAAAACGTTCTTCCAACTTCTTGCTTTTCTTCTTCTTCTTCTTCTTCTTCTTCTTCTTCTTCTTCTTCTTCTTCTTCTTCTTCTTCTTCTATGTGCCGTGTCCCTTCAGGAGGTGCGAGATCATAGCTCTCCACAACTTCCTGTCCTTTGTAGCTTTTTCGCAGTGTTTCTCGTTTTGCTGTTTTTCCTCATCCCTGTTCTGTCATCCATTAACACAAACTTGTTTAGTAGGTTATTCAATGCCTTCCTCTATCTCTGTTGCCTTCAACATACCCATGTTAAATTTTCCAAACCCTCTTTCCTCATTATCTGTCCTCCAAATTTCAATTGTATCTTCCTGATTTTAAGTATAAGTGTATCTTTTGCTTAAATTTTCTAGAAAACGTTGTAATTGCCCACATATTCAATCCATGGTATCCTTAGCATCCTTCTGTAGAACCAGATTTGCGTTACCGCAAGTCTCTTATTCACCTGATTGTTTAGCATTCACTGCCATATATGGAAACCGATATTACATAATAGTCTGGTTCTCCTATCTATGTTACTAACAAAATTTTCCTGTTATTTTTATTAATAATATTCTCAACCTTTTGGAATAACTCTTTTGATATTCCTGTGTGCGCTTCTATTTAAGTGAGGAGTTTGATTTTTTTTTGTTTTTTTTTTTAATTATTTTACTGACAACGATACATTATGTATTCTTCCGGTCTGTTTACAATTTAACCCCCTGAAGATGGTCTCAGATGAGATTGAAAGTACTTGGGAAAATAAAAATTATTTGAAGAAAAATTTGGTATTTTTCTTAATCAATTTTCTACGGCCATCAAGAAATTAATTCGTGAACTCAAGAAAAAATTAAGACTAAAATAAATAGAGATAATACATCTAAATTGCTTAACTGAACATGTTTGAATATATATATATATATATATATATATATATATATATAAATATATATATATATATATATATATATATATTAAAAATATGATTCCATCGCAACACAAAAAATTACTGTTTTCAAAACTGTTCATCCGAATTCAAGTTTAATTTCAATATTAAACCATAACTGTTGAATGATAGATTCATCCTCAAGGGACAAGGCTCTACTTCTGTATCGAGCACTGTTTTTTTTGTTTTGTTTTTTAAATAAAAACAAAATACTAAAAAAACTTCGGATCATCAATCTAACAGTTCTTTCCTATTATATCAATACACACACACACACACACACACACATATATATATATATATATATATATATATATATATATATATATATATATATATATCGTACACTCGGAATTAAAATACCAATGTAAACGATCATTTTCACCTTGTAAATTAAGTTTACAGAATTTTCAAGCAGTCAAAACATTGATCTCTATATATGAATCAGTTTTAATATTTAATATTTCATGTGTTAATAGTATTTCCTTGATGATATACCAATGGATTGCTATATATATATATATATATATATATATATATATTGAACAATAAGAAAATTAAAAATTAAAAAATTTAAAAAATTAAAATCATTAGACACACTGGGTTGTAGATTAATATTCTTTCGTTTTTTTATTATTATTATTATTCCATTTAGATTCCTCGACTAGTTTCGACCGAAATGGACATCATCGGGAGGCGAAATATTTCTGCTTGCTGTTGGCAAGGAACTACAGAAATGAATATATATATATATAACACATACAGGGGTTGTGTTGAAGATTCTTTTTGATATCGCTCGTCTGAATTTCGCTAATCAGAAAAAGGGAAGCAAAATATACAATAGATTTTTCATTAAACAGGAATGTCACATCTCCAGAAACAGTGGAATCTTTGCAAAAGTAAATATGTTATAAAAGCCAAATACACATCGACCGAATTCTGGACATAAAAACAGAAAATAAAACAGATAACCAAATAACAATCGTATTATTACAAACAAAGCACTGGGGGGAAAAAAAAGACAATGATAAAATATTGCATTAAGAATAAAAACGTCAAAAGCGAAAATGCATAATTATCGAAAAGTAAGCCTGTTTCAAGGAGAAAAATATACTGTCGACTTCGATTGGAGATTTATCAATAATGAAAGAATCATTCTCGGTTATAATGTCAAAGGACCTCAGCGATAGGTGTCCCAAAAACACTTTCTGTGTAGACGAAATGTGGATGAAGCTAGTTATCGTATGGATGAGTGCTCGGCCCGAAAGAGATGCATAATAAATGTTCATAGGTTTACAGTTGCCAAATCGTTTTGACAGCTCGAATCCCAGGCGTCGGAAACCTTCAAATAAACCCATACCATTAACGCGCCTTTTTTCTTTTTTTTTTTTTTTTTTTTCTTGTTACTGTTGTTATTATTGTTGTTGTTGCTGAAATCATATTCGCAACTCTCTTGGGAGAACTGGATACTGCGAAGAGACATATACGACTATTTCTACTATTATATATGATAATAGTATTGCTAATAATAATATTGCTTTTACATGCTCACACTAGTGATTGTCATTGTAATTTGTAAACAGTAAGTTTCTTCAAACACCATGACTTTACTTATATTTGAACGAAAATCCTCATATTTGATGTTATAATCAAGTGTTTGTCAGTATGGACCGCTTAAGGCCATATCACGCTGAGACAACGGTTCCAGTAAGATCAACGAAGTAAAGTCGAGCGGGGTCAGTGATTAGATAGGTAACCGCTTGCGAATACCAGGTGATGAAATCTTGGATGTGCGATGGTGTAATAATAAAATGTCTCGGAATTGTTAAGCGGAGAAAAGAGTTACAATTCCATTTGGGTTCATCATATTCATTTACTCGAAAATACAGTGCTGTTCGATAAAAGTGACTCACCTGATATTTTTTACTAAATGTTCTCTTCTTCGATGAAACGAAAGTTGAGCTAAATTCAAATGATAAGCGATCTAAAATCCGAAGAAGAAGCTTTGAAAGCTCTTAGAATTTAGCAGTAAGTAATGTCAAGCATACATTCAGTATAATGTTTTGGGGATGCTTTTCTTTTCACGGAACTGGTTTCTTGAAACCTATTGAAAAGACCCTCAGGAGCGAGCGGTACAAGAGAATTTTAGAGTCCTGTCTGCTCCCTTCTGCTGAAAGGGTGAAAATTGACCCCACCAAGCTCATTTTTATGCAGGATAATGCTCCCTGTCACAAGTCAAAATTTATGAGGGAATACTTTGATGAGAAGCAGGTGAGTATTATGACATGGCCTCCCCAATCTCCTGACCTCAACCCAATAGAAAACTTATGGAGCATTATAAAGTAAAGGCTCTCGAGAAAGCAGTTGAGCAACATCATGTGAGTCAATTTTATCGAACAGCACTGTACATTTGGGGAATGCATGAATCCGCATCTTCTCCCCCAGCTATGGGTTAATTAGTAAAATTTCTATCACTAAACCGATATTGCCTCCAAAACATATCCTTAATTTCTAAAATATTTTTTGCAAAATGTTGATAAGACGCAAAAAATGAATCAATGAATCAAAGTTTGAGATGTGACATAATAATTAAATAGGTTTATATGAATTTTTCTACTGTAAGGATTTCGTTTTATCTTATTTATATAAAAAATTATTTGTTATTCATATTGACTTTCAATTTGATATTTATATTCAACTAGAAATACCCGTGAAAAATTTAACGGTTTTACTTTTCGAATTTTCTGATGAAAACTAATTCTTAAGTTAGTGATGATTAAGCAAGCTCATAGCGAGATCTACGACAATAAAATATCCGTAGAAATTCCACTTATCACATCGTTAAATATTTGAGCTTAACAACTTTAACAAAATATTGCAATGACAATAAGGTAGTAACAGAAATGATATTAATATTTTCCCTCTTTATTTCTTTGTTCTTGCTTTCTTTCGTACATTTTCTCACTGAAGCCAAGTAGTACTACTGATATATCTTTCCCATCGTGACCAGAACAGAATATTCCATAATATATGAATTATTGCTAGGGTGTTACTGTTTTGTGTGTGCTGACTAAGGAGGGTTAAGCAGAATTCTAAGATGTATATTTTTAATTAATATTTATATGCAACTCTGAATAAAGGAAGAAAATATTAAAGATAACATAAATACTTTTTTCTAGAATTAAAAATAGAAGTTTTAATGAACTTGACCAATATACATACATACATACATACATATATATATATACATACATATATATATATATATATATATATATATATATATATATATATATATATATATATATATATATAAAATTTATTTAATGAAAACAGACACTTTTAAAAGGTACCATTACAATACTTTATTTTCACCAAAAATCCTTTTTAAGGTAGCGGTTAAAGAGACAATACAAAATATAGGGAGGGTTAAATTTACATCTCGCTTAAATAAGCTTTTAAATTGGGGTAGGAGGAGTTTCTAACCTT